ATTGAGAAACAGGGAGTTGGTCAGCTGAGGATGTCAGACAAAGCAAGTGGTCATTTGCAGCTGTTTACACTGAAAGGTGTAGACAACAGAATATCCTATATACCTGTATATATAAATCCTATAACTCACTTTATAGTTAATATATAGGTAATATAGTATATGATGTATATGATATGAGTAATATGAGCTTAGATGTGTGGCAGTTAAATTCATTTTAAATAATAATTAATCCATTCATGAATAATCTTCCTTGAGAATAAATGCTAAATATCAGGAATTTGTGAAATTTGTCTCGGAGCAAAATTATTTTGATTCGTTTATTATCTCAAAAACTTCAAAAGTTCAACTCTGTAATCTCTGTTAGTTAATAACGTGCTTTGCTCTTAAATACCTGACACAGAAGCCTCGTGTTGTACTTTTAAGCCCTATAATTTATTACTGATCTTAAAGTCAGTAATGACCTTCTTCCAAGAGTTTATGCAGGGAACTTTTCCGTTCTCTCGGACCATAATTCAGTCTTTGACACAGTTATCTGTGTAATTTTACTTCTCTGCCTTAAGCACTGGGTTGTTATCACAGCTGTAGCTCTAGCCTGGTTCAGTTATCGGTAATGCGAATCACATTCTTAAATTTAAAGGCCCATGCTTGTAGTTTTGCATATTTTAACCCACTGACTCTAAACCACACATTACTATTGGCCATTTTCCAAAACATTACATAGTTTTTAAACGTTTGAACTGTGATAGTTATTATATCATAATCATTAGTCATCATTTTATCTTGTTTTATTTTTGTTAAAGCAAGTGAAGGTGTGGATTGATTCGAAAGGTCTGGCATAGTCATTGTCTGGTGGGAAAGCATTTTTTCATTTCAAAACATATCGTATCTTACTGTGTCTCAGTGGAAAGAAAAAACCCACTAAGGGCAAAGATTAAGCTCACTGATGAGCTCAGTGCATTTTGAATGACAGTTTCTATCCACACATATTTTCAATGCATTAACAGTTTACTGAAACATTTAGAGTTAACTGTCTAAAGGTTTTTAAATCCAGAGCTCAACAAATCAGGGCAAAACTAAAAACAAGGTTTGCTCTTTATACAGTATTCTTTAAATATGCCACCATACACATTTAAAGAATAGAGAGAATAGAGAGTTTGGTAAGACTTCAGTCTAAATGTGATGTAAATAAAATGCTCATGGTCTTTGTTTCGTTTGATATTGATGGCAGTGCAGCTTGGAATTTAACACAAGGAACAAATTATTCTGGGTCACCTTATGACCGGTGTGATAAAACGAGATCTGCCGGTCTTGGATGATATTCAGAGGACTAAATGAAGAAAATAAAATTATGAAATGATGTTCTCTTTCATTTCAAGAGAAATTCTCAATAGGATTTCACACTATTGTGGTATTTGTCCTCTTGTCAATATCAAAAGCCAGTGTCTTATTTTACAGATTTCATTGTGGTCATATTTTGCTCACACCTACCCAAATAAAAATGTATTTTTATTAGAGCTTCAGCAATGGTAGACTATTACTTCTGCATGCACACTGTATATTTGGAAATAGCCATTGTGTTGTGATGTGGTTTTATGTTTGAATTCTGTCTAACCTAATAGACAGACAATACTCTGCCAGGCAGAAAATCCAATTAGACTCATATCCTGTGTTAGTGGATAGCACATTCATGTATGGCAGATTGAACCTGAATGTCCAAAGATAAAATTATTTATACTGGCAATGTAGCGCAGTTTGGTTCAATATAACACACAGACTGTGGGAGTGAGGACAAGGACAGTCATTGTAAATAAATTGTTTGTTTTCAGGGAGTCTGCCCATAGGCAATGAATGCCTGGCTTAGGTCCCAACAGACACATTTTCCCATTATGTGAAGTGGAAGTAGGTCCAGGAAAAAACAGAACGCAGGGGACATTATAAACAAAGATAAAATATTAGACCAAGTGTAACTAGAAAATGAATGAAGCTATGAAGCTGTGAAGAATATCACAAGCAGTGACATTTCAGTAAATTTGATGTGACTGTGTATTAATCATGAACATCACTAACTACCAGATTAACTTCATTATTTTATTCATGGAAATACAAAACAGCCTTTGTAACTGATCATTGGAATATATTTCATCAGAAAATTAAACTGACTGTGCACTCAAGGAAATTGGTATTTATCAAATGTATGCACACCTGTGTTAACACAGCAAGGTCAGCCATTATCTTCCTCACTGGAATGCAGTTTCACTGTGACCGTAAAGGGCCAATCAGATATGCTGACAATGCAGACAATGAATGATGGGATTAGTGTCCTTCTGCAGGTATGACAGTGCTGGCATTAATGCTCTGTGCTTATGGATATCATCTGCTTCCTGACCTAACTTAACAGTTCTACATTGTTCCTGACATTAATTTGTGGTAAAGACAGGTAGATACTGTCCTACTAAGATACGTATTCTACTTTTTTCTATTTTCATACCAGTTGATAAACCAGTAAAGAGTCACAATCACACAGATTTATGATAGACATATAAACTTATGCTTAACTGCTGCAGTCCAGCTCACATTGCCGCACAACTCCCAGTACTGAAATTCTGCTCCACTGCAGGCTTGGCAAAGTGAAGATATTTCAGCAGATGGTGTTCAGCAGGGACATCTTGTTAAGGTGTGGCAGCCAGATCATGTCCATCTGTTTGCATACAGTGTAAGTGCTCTCCACTACATCTGAATCAGTGGGGTTAATACAGTAGGCCAGGTGTGCAAGGACAAAGCGAGTGGAACGGTTGCAGAGCAGAAACAGCAGCAGCATGTACTTTTTCTTGATGTGCTCAATGAATGAAGTGGAAAAACAAGGTTTCCCTCCACAGTCGGTTCAAGGTCAGAGATATTGATGACATTGTGATTCAAAATTAGGACTGAGTGTATGATTTGAGGTCATTCTGCACTAAAGCCTATTATGTTATACTAATGGTTTTGCTTCACATCAGAGATTATTGATTCAACCACTCATTCATATAATAAAAAATAAAGTGGACCATATTTCTTCTTTCTTTCTTCTTTTCTTGATTATACATTTTGCAATTGTTTACCTGTTTCAAGAACATATGAGCACATATGGACACCTACAGTAAAGTGGCAAGAGCAGCTGTGTTGAGTAAAGGTTGGTTAGTAACAGTTAACTTTCCCAAGCAACAGGAAACATTCATGAATCTCAATCAATAGCCTCATTTTAGAGTTGCAGGACACTGTGACAAAAAACAATTAGACCAACCAATTAAAAAAAAAATCCATGCCCGGCAAGGCACTGTGTGTGTGAATGTGTGTACACATCCAGTACATAATGTAGAAAAACATGGGTAGGCACAAGGAAGGGAAAAGCAATTGACTGTGATGATGTGCTGATCTCCACCTCAGTACTTCTTTTTATGCCTTAACATTCCCCTAAAGGTAATGTTTATAAGTCTAATTACACATATTATGAAAATTTAAACAGGTTTTACTTGTTGTAATCATTCTTCCTCTTCTAGCCAATAAAATATCCCTCATAAGTGAAGGAACAAAGGGCTTTTTCTGTGAAAAAAAAAAACATTTTAAGTTCACTTCAAGTTTATCGGAAGCAAATATGAGGCTTCAGCAGTCTGAATTAGACAAATAAAGTGGGTATCTACCAAAATTAAAGTTGGTTTAGTTCAAAAATCCCCTTCTGTTTTACTATCCCTCCACCACAGCTGAACAGAAAACCCACTGTCTTGGGAAACACAAAGAGGGAATTGTATTCTACACTGTAAGTTTGAAAGAAATCCGCTTGGTTTGGCTAATTCAGACAGCTGAAGTCTTATATTAGCTTTACTGTGAATCTATCTTTTAATGAAAAAGGGATTCTTAAAATTGCCACCAAGTCACACATCAGTGAAATTAATTGTTGAGATCCAAACATATCACAAAGAAAATGTGTTGACTTTGTATTTCAAGAGGAAAGCTGGAGGTTTTTCTAATGATTCATAAAAATCACCTAGTGGCCATTAAATGATTTGAAGCTTAAACGACAGGTTTGTGTTTTTTAATGTTGATACAAGCTGTGGCTGAACTTTTGAATGCATTTTTTACACAAAACAAATCCATTTTAGGCATTTCTGTACATGCTTCACTGCTCAGCTGTGGGGGGTTTCGACTTAATAAAGGACAACAAACCTTTTGTTATGTGGCCCTTTAAAGGACCAGTGTGTAGGATTTAATGACATCTAGCAGTGTAATTGCTAATTGCAACGCTCTTGCCTCACAACCCACTTCCAAGCATGTAGGAGAGAAACCCTACAGCCATGGTTTGGTTTGTCCATTCTGGGCTACTGTAGAAACATGGCAGATTCCTTAGAAGAGGACCTGCTCTCTGTAGATGAAAACAGGAACATTAAGATAATGAAAACAGAACGATTCTTATTTTCAGGTTTATCTTCTTTAATGTTACACACCACACCTGTATAGATACTGGATAGTTTTAAGCTTTGCTGATTTCTGAATTTGAATTACAATGTGTGTACATAAATCCATGGTTCCCAGAGGCTGAAGTCCACTAATCCAAGTGATCCCCTGAATTTTGCTCTTGTGTAGGTTGTCTTGATAATTTTTCTATGGACTGCAATGAAAGGCTAGATTTGTAGTTGCGTGTTACAGCAGTGTTTCTCAAACTTTCTTCTAACCCCTTATTGAGTGCAGACTAATCTCTCAGTTTAATTTTGGTGAAGCTCACACGCCATTGTCAGATAAAAATGTAATTTGTCCAATAGTTTGGTTTATCTATCTACTAATTTTGTATTTCTTTACAATGAGCATTGCATCCTCAGAGCTGCTATCATGGCTATAAACTCTTGTTTTGTGATGGGTTAGCTGCCTTGCCATTCTTCATAGTTAACATGTTGAGTCATACTCTAACTATTAAAACAATTTAACAACTATTAAAACAATTACAGGAAGGGAACATAAAAGCAGCGATATTCTCATTCATGGAATCCTGAATTATATTTATTAATCATTCAGTTTTACCCAAGAACAAATGACATGTCCTTGGATAGATGTATTTAACACTTTTCATACAATCCTCAATATTTTTTAAACAAACAAACAAAAAATACCAAAAGATGTAAACATTTTTCACAATGCATCTGAAACTTCACTCAGAACAATAATAACTTCAATAATTATAATGTAATAATATTTCTGAACCTATATAGATAGCTAGATAGATAGATAGATAGATACGTTTCCATATATTAACATACATATATGTACAACACATTACATTCAGCCTGGTTTGTGTCTTAGAAACTGGGGGTCTGCAAAACTCCTGACCTGTGTGTGTATTTGTATTTACATATGCCAGCATAATACAGTGCAGTCGAAAATTGTAAATATCCTGAGGATAGGGTGTTTGGTTTTCAGAAGACAAAAGGAAAATAGGGATTCATACAAAGACATTGCTCTCCAGCTGCAGTCAGAAGATTCAGATTCTATTTGCATCCTCCTGATCGCATTTAACTTTGTTTACAGCGGATTAGCACAGACATATAGACAGCAGTACTTATAGGATTTATCATATCATTCAGACCCAGTATAGGCTTGAAGACTTCAGTGAGTGCTTTATAAACCATTATAAATACGGCATATGAAATTTCTGCTGATTCAGTCTCATGACTAAAAAGGGATTAAAGTCTTTGTCATGTTTCCAGGCTGCTTCTTGACAGGTAAGTTTCAGGAAGGAAAGAGAGTTGAGATGGGCACGTTTAACTAAAGTGTTGATATGATGCCTTACACTGTACTGGTGACAACAGAGGATTTCTTGATGCAAGGGCAAAAGATAATTGCATTCAACTCGAGCTGTTTCATGCACACTTCCCACATATCAGCACTTTAATTTATCTGTAATTAAGCTTGCTTGCTGTAAACTGCTCATCCAAGTGACTATAATCACATCAAACACTTCTGCTACTTATTTCTTATTAAATGCTGCACATCTCTAATTCACAAGAGCCACAAATACATTCCATGATTAATTGGGAGGTAGAAACAGTCACCTTCATAGAAGCTGCATAAACATAACATTATAGTAGATACAATTTCTCTGTTGGATTATTGTGTCTCTATGAAACCAAACAACGCCATCATGGGAAATTGAGCTCAATTAATAATAGTCAGCTGTAAAGGCCATTGTATTTTGGCTGTGTAATATTACTTATCTAGCTGTTAAGATATGAATTCAGCTTAGTTTATCTTTTTCTCACCTCAAAGGAAAATGGATTCCAGCTGCAGTGAGGGAAGCCACAAACCTTGAAGCTGTTTTGCACTAAAGCCTCATAATAGGAAACGTTTATGGAAACACTTCCAAAGCCACCAGTCAGAAGCTGAGATAACAAAAAATAAACCCCCCCATTTCAAGACACTGCAAGAGGTTTCTCCTTCTCCTGTTTACACATTTAGGCTGATATTCATGATAATATATGAATTAAACTTGGCATCTATACGTACACATTATATACATACATGCAAACCAATGTCTACATGAAATCCCTGACATCTGATAAATATATGCACATTGTTTAAATGAGTAAAGCCAGTGGAAATAACCTAGGTGGGAATGGCAAGTGATTCAGAATATACACCCAGGTACGTGCAATATTTGTTCCTTGAGTAGAACAGAATAGAAAAAAGAGACATCAGAATCAGATTTTCACAGTTATGTTTCCTGGTTTGTGCATCCATCTTTGCCCAAGAGTATGGGCTAAACAAAGCCTGTCCAGCACAGGACTGGAAGTCTTTGATATGTGTGTTCTCTTAATGGTAACCTGCATATTGGTATAAAAATATGAGTGTCCAAAACAACATTTTGGCTTTGACAGTGAGTGTAAAGGTGTCAGTAACCTTTGGTTCCAGCATGACATGCAGAAAATACTTCCTGCATTTCACAGATTCTTCAGCTCGTACACCCTTTTTCTCTGAAATCTTACAAGAAACCAGTAACATCTCTCACACATCGTAGGTGCAAGTACAATCACGTAGTTTTACCCAGGGAAACAACTGTACTATAAACAGTTACCAGGCTAATGACAATATCACCCATGTGTTCACCCTGGAGGTTACAGAGCAAGAAACAGTGTTGAGCTGCTACCCTGTACATCCATGCAGTTGTATACAATAGTTGTTGGATGAAAAACAGATAAAGCTGACAGTATTGTTTCATACATCCTGATAAGAATCATTAACTGTCAGTATAAAGGCTTGTTTGTATTTGCAAACGGTGCTTCTTTTCACAGCAGTAAGGCTTTGACACGCACAAGTGTCAGCCTGCGGAAAGTCTGGAGCTTCCTTAACCTCACCTTGCAGTTAGCCTCAGGTTAAAGATTCCCACTTGAGCATCACAGCTCTGGATTTATATTATCAGAAGTTTCACAGCATATGACTTGTTTGACAACAAATGTTCCATTGCTTTTACTCAAACCTTGGTTCCCTCAAATAATCTTATCTGTTTTCTTGGAATAACGATTATTATGCTCCAGATTGGGGTTTAGTGCGTTGCTTCATTATAGCAAAAACTAAGCCAGGGTTTTTGACAGATGACACCGTAGTTTTTTGCTGGAGCCCTCTGCATCAATGCATAAGTACTGTGGCGCAATTCATCTAACAGATGAAGCTCACATCTAACAGAGCTATAAGCCCTCAGCTAACAAGGGTCTAACTCCAGGGCTTGTGTGAAAAAGCCCAAGTGGGCTATTGGTTCAGATGGCAATGTTGGTTTAGTTTCAATTTCTTCAAGAAGCCGTCATTACCAATGTTATAGCAGTAATTTGAGAAGTGCAACCAGTAGCAGAATACATCACATGTGCTGACATGGTGTTATGCATTACTTAACAGCAAATGATTTCATGACAAAGTGAACTGCTTCTATAGTAAGGTATTTTGTGAAAACTGCACAGAATTGCAATAGTCCCTCTCTACATGCTAAGGGAAGGAATCATGACATGGCATGAGAGGCATGCCAATTCAACCACAACACGCGTTCTACCAGATCTAATTAATCTTGTCCATGGCAGGTCTTTTTGTACTTTCATTTGATGACCTATGCTGCCAGGGAAAAACTGCTCATTGGACAAACACTGTGGTTAAACTCAACTATGCTAACTGGGCATTTTTTATTTGGAATAATGTTGGCAGGTGCTGAGGCAAAGCCTTGTGTCTCTCATATTACAAATCCTTTTATTGAACAACAGGCGCTCTCCTTTCCAGGAGGCAAGACGAGCACTAAAGGCAAGTGGCCTATATCCATGCATAGACATAGAGTTTTTTTCTCCCCTTTTGTTATAATGGCTTAAGGAACATGTTTAATAAGCCCATTTCAGTGTTATTGTTTTGTTGTTGTTGTTTGTGAGTCAGACCCAAAAGAATTTGCTGATACTGTTAGCTTCTCTCAGGAGCTGCACATTTGTACTTGAAAGCATGCCCATGAAAGCACACGCTCACAGAGGCACATTGGAAAAATAAACGCATACAGTATAAATAAACCACATGATTTTCCTTTTTCTCACTGTCATACACACACAAACAGGCTTCATTAAAGGTTATCTGACTTTAAAGGATCATTCCAGTTTATTACAATTTTGGGTCTTATTTTCTTAGGTTTGGTCATCACTCCTGTCAGTAATGATAACACACTGCCCAAGTTAATTGATGAAATCTAGAAAAGAAAAAACATTGCTAAATAGTAGCCTGATGAAGGATGCCAGATTGCTTTATATTTGTTTTAAACAAAGCCTTATTTGGAAGAGAAAATGGCTGGAAATCCACCACCCCGGGTGTCATGCAGGTAGAGCAACTGATATTTGAATATTATTCAGCATTTGTTACAATGCAACATATGTTTTCTACAATTTTCAAATATGTAGTTTATTTGATATGATCGTCCTATTTCTGTCTAGAGCTCTCCACATAGACTATTCTAAGAGAGAATAGAGCTTATTGAGTGTTATAGATTTGGTTAGCTTAAATCCTGCTTTTATAATTCAGTCATCCCTTCTGTCCGCAACACAGCTGATTAGAAAAATTGACATTGGCAACTCCAGCTCCTATTTGCAGAGGAATCAATACAACGCCCCCTGGCTAAAAGTTCATTTTTTACACATGTAACAATGGGCTCACTAAGCCAAATCTGTGCTTTGTTCTTGACCCCCTAGCAGGTCTGGTTAATTTAGACAAATGTAGAGCCTGACACACTGTAGTTAAATTAATTTGAGCATTGAGATTCTTAATGTATCATCAACAATCAGGAGACTGAGGAAAATTACTTTCCTATGATGTAACAACAGCAACCCTGTGGTCCTTTAAATAGGCATGCATTAATAAATACCTATCAAATAAAAAAAATCATAAAATACAGTACTTGTAATAAATACATAAAATGTAGGTTATAGACTAAAAAGTTTCAATATCAGCTCCTCCTTTTAAATCAGGCTTGAATTGATTTGCATTGTAACTCCATGGGCTCTCAGTCTCAAAAGTGAGCAGATAGTTATTGATGCGGATTAATTTGACCTGATGAAATATTGATGTACACATCTGTTGTTGCATACTGTATGTTTGGCTAACATTGTGATCATTTTTTTTTTGGCAGTATCACATATTTGAGGCATGAGAAGTTCTTAGTCTTTAAAGTTATAAAATGTTTTCCTTCAATAAAAGCATTTTGCTTTTAATTACATTTTCCCTATTCCCCAACTTGCAACTTGTGTCTTTCAACCTTACAACCAGCCGTCTTTCCCTCCTTTTTTTTCACCTGCAAGGTGTCTGCCAATGTTTGTTTCTCTATAGGAAGTCGCTCTGCAACTCATTGGAGAGCTGACTGACAGCCACCTCACTATGTAGTGATCCTTTAAGTATCCTGGCAGTCTGCTGGGGGCTGCAGTCTGTAAAGTTTTCTCTGGTACCAGTGACTGTTTCAGGGAAAGGACAGTGTCTGCAGGTCCTGTGGTTCTCCGGCAGCCCATTTGACAACCTTGTGGAGTTGCACTCTTCTTTGTGATGCAGTTGCATGCAAGTTCCCTTCTGTACAGAGCTGTGCTGACACAGACATCCACATGTCCTTCTGCACTGGGCTACATCCCGATACAGGGATTTGCGGAAGTTGGGCTTGAAGACCAGATAGACAACAGGGTTGTAAAGGGTGGAGGACTTGGCAAAGATAGCTGCCAGAGCAAAAGCCATGGGTGGTACAGTTGCTGAGTTCCCAAATGCTGCCCACATGGACACAATGGCATATGGACTCCATGCTGTCAGGAAACCGATGCAAACTGCCACAGACAGCTGAAAAGAGACACAAACAATACATTTGTCACGTTAACATGTATTTACTTATATAGTATCTTGGAAAGAGAACCTATGCATTTACCTTAATAATAAGTGCATGTGCATTGGTGATCTTGTTCTGTGGGGACATGTGCTGCTGCACAGCTTGACGGGAGCCCCGGACTGTCATTAAGATGAATGTGTAAGACAAGAAGATGACAGTGCAGGGCACAATGTAGCAGAAGAAGAAGAGGCAAATGATGTAGCTCATGGCTGCAGAGCTTTGGCTGGGAGCATGCCAATTGATGCAGCATGCTGTACCATAAGGCTCTGCCCCATACTCTCCCCAGCCAGACAGGGGACCTATAGCAAAAACTCCAGCGTAGCACCAGATCCCAGCAACCAGTAAGTAGGCGTGGCAGTAGGAGAACTTGTTACCTGAGAAAGAGCATAGCAGGGTAGAGACAGAGGCAGAGGAGGGAAAGTTGGGGGAGTGATTACTGACAGATGAGGACATAGAGGATGGATACAGAAACAACAACATAGCAACAATATGCTACTAAAGCATATTAAATCTGGTTACCTGATGCTGATAACAGGCAATGAGTGAGGAGGAGAAAGAGGAGAGAAGGAGGAAGGAGTGGGATGATATTTTCCAGTAAGTGACACCTTGATCAGAAATTTACCTAGGATAGAATGGTAAGTTTGACAAAAAGAATGAACCACTTTTCTACAGAGAATATGGATAAAAAGATTAATTCTTTTTGTCCCATGTTTCAGCCTATGCATATTTTGACGTGACCTCAGGCATGTTCAGAAAACACGGCCCCCAGGAATGGACATGTGAAGTTAACAATGTTCATAATGCCAGGGAGCCAAATATAAACATTGTTCTGTATGTATGGAAAGTTGCTGCAAAGTATGTTTCCTTAGAGGCGATTACAGAAGTATGTGGAAAAAAAACACTAGTCGAGTAGTCTGAGCACTGTACACACAAGACCTCATATTAGGAAATATAGTCACCACTGTTTGTCAGTACTGACTGTTTATTTCTTGCATAGAAGGATCTGAACAACACATACAAACAGCAACAGACAAATCCCAATAAAAACTAATTTAATCCGATGAATCACTTTATTTGAGGATTTTATTTGATTTAATTTTGTGTGATGGTGATAGTGTGACATTTTTCTAGCCCATTTTATATTTGTACCAGAATTGTACTTGTATAGCAATACGATTTATTTGCTAATTCATTGATTGTTGGAGTTGTATTAAGAAACTAATAGACTAATAGATTATTATTATTATAAACAAAGTCATCAGAAAGGGAGCAGGAGGGTTACTACATTCTAATATTTATTGTAAATGCTTTATCTTATTCTGATCTCACTCACCACTCCAATTATGGATGATGTGGCACATGAAATCCACAGTCAATAGCCAATTATTTTTCCACAAGAGGCTATTGGTACAATATGAAATGTTTGTACAGTCTAATTCTAATATTTTTTTTGTATTTTAACTCTATCAAAGCTTAATTTAACTTATTAATGGTGAGTATACAACATTGGACATTCATTCATTTTAAAGAGTCGCATGTAGTCATGGAGCACTCAGCTGACATCAGCCTCATGTGCCTGAATGTGAATAAGGGGACTGTAACTGTTGACTGTAATTGAATTGGACGAGGGCTTCTTCTGTGTGGAATCAGTGAGGAGGAGAACACAGGGAGCCTTATCTATGATACCACACAGCCTCTTCAGCTGGATGTCAGCCCCTCTTACAGTTGCCGACTGAGGCTGGGGGTTAGTGATTAGGCCCTGTGGCACTCACTGAACTGCATGGCACAGGGAAAGGAGGCTGGTTAACCATTACAGATAGCTTTCATCTGATATTAAGTGTCCCTTCGCCGACTGAACTCTCCAGCTCTCTGAGTGGCACATGAAGGATTCAACCTGAGCACTTCTTTCACAGAGGGCTGAACTCAATTACAAACAGAATCCCTCAAACATGTGCTCTTACATTTGAAATAGAGCTGCACGCAACGTTTTTTCTCCTAATGCTCTGATACCTCAACGCTGAATATTGAGCCAATGCCATCTCTCCCTTTTTTTTTTAATTCATAATAATTTCATGAGATCTATGGTAACATGTGGCATATTATTTTATTTATTTATTTTATAAGAAACTGTAGATGGTCAAATCATGGCAGATCGATCTGCTTCAAGTTTAAATTAATAAATTAAACCAAATTTTTGAAACAGTTTACGCTTAGCATCTTTTCTACAATAGCCTTTTTGATGTATTCTCATTCAGTAGTTCAGTAAGTAATTACCTCTGTATTTAATTGTTTTTATTTATTGTTAGTGGTGGGGCATGGTATTCCTGCACTGGTTTCAAATTGCCCTTACACAGAAGAGGCCCAAACAGGATGTAATCAAGCCTAATTTTATTTAATTTAAAACAACCACTGTTTACTGTTTGCTCTTCTATTTACGCTGTATCAGCTGTATTCAGTTACTGTCAGTGCAAACAGAATCTACAGCTGTTAATTCACATTAAAAGCATTAAACTGGTATAACATGAGATGGAGGTGAAGCAGCTGAGAAAAGAAATGCAATGTATAGTATTTGTCACTGTGGTTACCATGACTGTTCATCCAAAAGAAGACACAGATAGATGAAGAACTGAAGCAGAACCTCCAACTCCTCAGAAAGACTGCTGTGAGGTGATGAAATCAAATCGCAGTTGAAAAATTATTGTAGACTTATTTTTTTGTTGAAACATTACGAGCATGTTTGGCTGCACTGTGAACAGATACACCAGTTGCTTGTCTGTTGTATTCCTGTCAAAGTAGATGCTCAATTAGTGTTTTATTATTAAATTACGCTTGATAGATACACCAGATTGTGATCCAATGCATTTGATTGACAGCCAGTAACACTTAACAGCCAATAACACTTAACATCAGGACAAATACCCCACATTGATCCTGGTTTCAGTTCACATTAAGTCAGTCCTCTTTAACTGTAAAGCAATTCCACAGCTCCCCCTCTTCATTCTCTACTATTCAAATCCCAGTTCCCTCCTGACATTAGTCTTCTTACTAAGAACGTGTCTTATGTTTGATGAATTTCGATCGTCATCGGAGGCTTTAGATTAAACCAAACAGCATAGGTTCGTTTACCAGTGTTGGAATGTTACTAAGTACAATTACTCAAGTACTGTATTTAAGTACAAATTTGAGGTAATTGTACTTTACTTATTATTTCATATTTACATTGCACAACTTTATATTTCTACTCTACTACATATCAGACGCAAGGATTGTAGTTTTTACTCCACCACATTTATCTACAGCTTTACTGTAGTTACTTTGCAGATTACAATTACAGAAACCATGTATCTCAAAGTGTGGTGATTTTGAAAGTGAATGTTTGCGATAAACTGAAGGCTTAAGTGTTCCTTTATGGGTTGAGATAATTCTCCTACATCTTAAAATAAATGATTTAAAACCTTCTTGGAGTAGCTGGAAAATGTCACAAATCTGAAAACAATGCTGTTTTTCTGAGCACATGAATTTTTTCAGAGATATGTAGTTAAAATTAGCACAACCTTAATCATGTATAGAAGTAAAATGCTACATACACTAATGCAGCAGTAATATTAATCCAAAAACATCATAGAAACACTGACAGGAACCATTTCACTGCATAATGACTAGTTTTACTTTAAAATACAGTTTGCTGATAATACATACATTTACTTAAGTAAGGTTTTGACTGCAGGACTTTTACTTGTTGTATTTTTACTGTGTGGTATAAGTACTTCTACTCAAGTAAAGGATCTGAAAACTTCTACTACTTTCATTAAGAACAGAAATACCCACATGAGGTTCTGAAAATAACTAATAAAATAAAGAAAGGAAGAAGCACTCATCTCCCCAATGCCCCATCTGCTACCTATGTGTTTATTTCATCAGGCTGCACCTTGGAGGGTGTTCTTTAGTGCTGTGCTCAAAGACATTTCAGCAGGAATATGACATAAAGTTTCATTTAGGTGAGCACATAACTGTATACAAAATGGTTTAATTTTCACAAGGGTTTGTGGGAATGGTTTTTAACCATGTGTTTATTTTTACTTGCTATAGAGAAACATTTTAACCCGTCCCTGACCCATGTACAAGATTTCAAGTCTAGGCAGATCTTTCTGTCTCATTTTGTAGCTCTAATATTCAGACTCAACCAGATGGACAAATCCTGGGAGAATTGTTTGAAAGAGCAATGCAATTAACTAACTTAGAATAAAAAGCTATGTTAGCTTGCTGTCTCATTACTTCTATGAAGAAATATGTGTAGACTCCATGCTCTGAATAATAATCCCAGTAGGATCTCTTTTTACATATTTGTTTCTTACATATTTCTCCTCTTTTTTAAAGCAGTAAAGAAACTATTTCACATTTAAAAAATGCTAACCATTTTAATTCTGATTTAAAGGAGTCTCAATATTCACAACACATCTAATTAAATTTAACGAACGTTTATTGTGATACAGTAGCCCATACTGAAGTGAATGTGATAACCTCTCCATAATAACTCCACATGTGGAAACTAAACCTTGTGTCAGCAACCCATAAATGTTATCATGGTTTTTACTTTCCATCCCTCCAGTAACCTGATCCGCTGATGTTTTTGGTGTTACTCCATAAACACAGTTCCAACACTACATGTTTATTTTCTAATGTTTATGCAAGCACTCTATTCCTCATACATCTACTCATTCAAGTTTGACAGACTGCTGATTCTTCACACAGAAAAATCAACTTTTTCAGACCTCTTATTCACATGACAATGAGCTCCACTTACAGAGAAAAAGTAGCAGCAGCAATTTGGCCTTTATGTGTACATTCTGATGTCCCACTCTACAGACAATGATAGCTGCTGCCATTTTAATGCCACCTGAAGGCAGTGAGCATTGCTATATTTTGGTTTCGTTGTTGCTGTTTTCTTAGTGCTTGTCTTTACAGATACAGTTTTATCTGTAAAACACCAAATGTTAATTCATCTTAATTTTAGAAATTACTTTGTAACCATATATTAACTAGGCATAACATTTAGCTTTTTCAGGCACCATCAGACAGTGTTAATTATTTTACATGTCTGGAGTGACCTGTTAACCAATTAACAGACTTTTTTTTTATTCCACATACACATTAGACACTCTAGAGTACGCAGAAACCAATGCTGGATGACAGGGGACACACAGTGACAGTTAAACAATTCCAACTCCTGTGTAAGTGTGCCTGGTAATAGATGGTACAAGTTGGTCTGAAACTGATGGTGCAGGTGCAGGTCTGCAATTATTGTCTGGATCTTTGCATCAGTCATGCTGTGTGTCCCTGTTGATTGTATATTTGTGAGAATGTATGTGTGTGTGTTTGACTAGGGGAGCTGTCTGCTTGATTGTATAAGCGTAGAAACAAGCAGGACAGCATAGTTTAACAGTGTGCCAGCAAACTGCGTACATTTGTTCAAGGTTCCTTGCAGGGAAGCCTCATAAAGGCGTAATTATTTATGCTCATTTACATTTCAAACACTTTTATTTGTGAGGCTTGTAGTCTCCGGGGTTTTACACTCCGTATTATAGACTGTTCCTCTGGTAAACAGACAAGATGAGCTGTTTAAAAACACAGCCTTGACTTCAATTATACTGTGCCTATTAGCAAAAATCTGTGAACCTACTGGAGTCTGGAATAAACTTCTAATTCTATTCGGATGCTGCTAGCCCCTGCACTAATTTTCCAAAGCACTCTAAAGTTGGAAGTTGACAAATTAGGGCCTGAATTAGTTAAATTGTGACATGACATTTAATTGATTTTTGCTATCAGATCTTTCCTGCTGTGTTTGATAACTCATCCAAGCTGCCAATGTCACTTTGCTTCTTCTGCTGCATGCTGCTATTTCTAGTTATTACAGTTAGTATACATTGTTCAGGCATCTTTTACCTTGTGTATCAGGCATTATGAATACGATTGTGTGTCAGATTGGCTCTATTTTGTGCACCCCTGCAGTGTGTATGGACGAGTGTGAGAAGCATATAAATGAAACATCCCTGGATTCTTCACTGCAGGATACAGATTCCTGCAGTGAAGAATCTGTGCTGCAACATACAAATGTGAATCCATCCGTCGAGCATGGATGTGAAGAGAGTTGATGACGATAGTGTTTCTGAGTGAAATTAAATTATGTGCAGTTTCTGTCAACTGAGCCAATTTGTATATATTGCATAATTCATTAATTATCATACAATGTATGATCATGGCTAAGTGGTGCTGTGACAAATTATTTTCAGAGAAAGACAAAAAAAATGAATGCAGGTTTAATGAGAAAATCAGGAGTGACTGATGAGTTTTGGAAAAAAAGAAAGAAATTTAATTAACCTATGGCTACAATTGATATAGAAACATATCGCTAATGGGGATGTATGCATGAAATCAAATGTTTCCTAACTGAAAAAAGAAGCTATGGACTCTAAATCGTGTAAATAAATCCTAAATTGCTTCAGTGTCAAAACGATTAATTATGCAATGTACAGCTTGAAAAGTTTGCAGTCACACCATTGTTTAGTGAAAAGGCTTCACATGCAAAAGCATCAAAACACTGCAGAGTTGAAGCAGAGTGAATCTGCCTGATAACAGAAGTGTCTCAGACTTCCAGTACTGTAACAATGTGTCCATAAGTGAGAGCAGTATGCGTCCTTGAGCAAAAATAGTCAGTAAGTCAGACAGAAATGTGAATTTCATTTAAAATAAATTAATCTTTCATTCAACATTGTATTTTAGGGCCATATAGAAGCAGTATTTCACTTTTGTGCATAAACCACTCTGATCTTCGGATGGATAGGTCATAGCTCCTTGTACTGTCCAGTAAAAAGGTTTATGGGGGTAAGACTTGTAGAAAGAGAGAGAGAGAGAGAGAGAGTGAGACCGAGCAGAGAGAGAGGAATTAATCCCAGCATTGAAAAAGAGCATTATATACATATATAAACAATCCTAGTTGTGAAGAGTTAGCTGACCCTCTTAATGCCCTTGAATAACATCAGACAACAACAGTGAAATCTTCACTGGATACGACTGCTTATTACCATGAAGTCTACAAAAACATTAATATCTATAACATAACTAGATATCTTATCTATACTAGATAACATAAACAATAGAAACATAAACACTTCATGAAAACGTAAACATACATATTATATCCTTGTTGGTTGGTTTCAACTTGTGACCTCTGCTCCTCTTTGTTGTTTTCCATAAGTTGTTATGATTTTTGAGACTGCTTCTCAGGATAATTGTACAGTTTTGTGAATTACTGTAGTGCATTTGCATTTTGGGCACATTTCATTTGGCCTCTTTGGAGAGGTGTCTGGTGCTGCTTTGACACTATCACAGCGAGCACTCTTTATTGCTGCAAAATAATATGAATGCAACTAATTCCATTCCTGGAATATGAAATCCAGTGTAAATCTACACAAACAGGAGGACATGGAAACCCCACATAGACTTGGTTTCAAACCATGCTGTAAGGCAACAACACTGACTATTCATTAACATTGCTGCATATAAGAAAGCAGACTTACTTAAAGTGCCTATAATTTATATTTTCATCATCAGATGACAACGTGAAAACAATGCAACAATGTGAAAGTGGTTGCTTGTAATGGCAAATCTACAGATAAGATCTGCAGCTCCCCTTTGCTTCACAGAGCTTTATAGTGAGTTTCTACTCATTGATAGCTCTAAAAAAAAAAAAGTGACTGTAATACACTACCTGCTCAGCACCAAACACCAGAAACAAATAGCTAAGCAACTAGCTGGTAAGCATAGTAGCAGCTAAAGAGCGAGATGTTTCCCTCAGGAATTGGTAGAGACCAAAAACAGAGCTAAAAGAAAGTGAATATTGGATATTGCCAGGTGGACAAAAATTACTCAAAATGAATGATAGTGTTGCTCCAGAACTGCTGGACAATTTTCTAACATGTTTACAATAGCAATTTAAAAGCTTACTAGCTTTTCCAGGGTTTTCAATAAGTGGATGGAGTTTTCTCAGCATATGACTTGAGCAATAAATCTGACCTTGCATGTCAACATTCCCATCACCAAAAAACTGTGCTAACTCTGGCTCTGGAAAAGCTATTGAGGTGACAGACAAAGACATTGAGTTGGGGATCGTTTTGTCATACAGCTTTTACCATTTTGAATAAGTTCACAATGTCCCCATTTACACTTGGTCACGTCCTGGGTGGATCAGATAGCTATCTGATATCCCAAAAATAAGTATAAATGCATCCAAGAAGCATTTGATACAGATTGAAATCAAATAGAAGAATTCTACACAGAGCACCGTACACCAATCTTCCACCTTGCATTTGACATTTATTATTACAATTTCAACTGAGGCTGCAAAATATTTAACTAACAGTGCAATTGATTTTCTTGTAGAATGAGGCCTGAGAGAAACTATAATTGGTAAACTGTTAAGTGCAGAAGTAATTCTTCCTCTGGCCTTTTTTGCAGTTACCAGCTTCAGGTGCATTACCACCATTGTCTGGACTGGAGTAGGTCTGACTCTTAATTGCATGTACCTAGAGACTTTTGTGATGTGGCCAAAAGAAATTTATGTGGCTAAATGTCAAATAAGTCAATGTCAAATGTAATGATTTTATCCTGATACAAGACACTTGAAATGACAAGTGTAATGGGGCCATGGTCATTCCTGACATTTATCTCTGTTTTTCTTCTACTGTGGCCTGGTGGATTTGTAAATTGAGAACAGCTTACCTTTAGCTCCAGTGGATCATAATGAAAACAGAACTCTTTTACTTTGACATCATTGTACCCTGTGTACATAGCTGCTATTTAAAGCCTTGAAAAGCATTTTGATTCTCTGGCTACCTTAAGTGTACTTGACATCTGGATTTCAAATGTAGACCTTGAGTTAAACCACCTCATTTTCTATGCATGCTGTCAGTGAAGGCTTTTTAAGTGACCATGTAAGGAAAAGTGTTTCATGTTGTATAAGCTCCATCATGGCTGTACTTCATCTGCAGCTAAATACACATGTAAATCCTTGTGGGAGTGCTACTTCCTGTTAAATTTACACAGAGCTGTAATAACAAAGCGTGTCAACCATTTTCACATAACCAATATGTAAGTTGCACGTAAATCACATCATTTTTAATTCTGTTACTGAAGTTGCTTGCACCAGTCTTTGGTTTAAATGTCTCAAATTCTGCACTCTAAACTAAAAACTTTATTAACTTATTGGCAACACTCTAAGTCCCCCTATTTAGCATTCATAAGCAGTGTATACAACACACTAATGTATTTGTACAAAAAATACTTAACATCAATTTACACTTAACATATCTGTTTCTAACTACATTATAGTTTGTTACAGACCATTTAAAAAATATTTATTGTATACTGCTTATAAAGGCTAAAGGATGGAACTTATAATTACACTTATCATTAATCGATTAAATACAGAGTCACTGTTAGTCTTTGTTTTAACCTGACCACTAAAGTCACACCTCTAGCTTGGTCAGGTGACCTTAATCACTTTCAACAGTTGCTGAAATTGTAGTATTTAGTCTGTATACATTAACATAAGTTATTCACAACTGTAATGAAACTGGCTAAAGAAAATGACTGAAAACTGCTCAATGATCATTATACTCTTTTGTTAAATTCATTAGTAAACACTGACAGTGTCGATGTAGCCAAAACATGCAGCCAGGGAATCAAGCAATTCCAATAATTGGATGGTTTGTGAGTTTTTTAAATGATAGACCCTGCAGGGGAATACATTAAAGGGAAGAGAGTGCATTAAAATGCCTTGTAAACATCTTGTTATTTGCATATCCTGCTGTTTAAAAGGTTAAAACATGGCCTTGAACATCATCTTTTAAGCCCTTGACTTGCTGGCGTCATTACATTAACATTTCTCCTATCAGATTCAAGGGTTTTGGCTTCAGGAGGGAGCAAGGATGTTTTCAACAATGTTGATCAATATAGTTTTTTTTTTTATGAATTAAAGCACAAAGACAAGTTGTCTTACCATAGTTTGGGCAGCAGACCTTGAGCCAGCAGACGGAGGAGAGCACAGTGAGGTTGGTCAGACTGCACAGGCCAAACAAAACGCCACAGAAGGCATAGATAGTACAGGTCGTCTTATTAAACAACCACCTGAATGGAGAGAGAAACATCTTTGAACTTGATTTGTTACTGACATCCTGATAGGATCTCTCTGCAAAATCCTTCTGGTACATTACACAATTCACACCCAGTAGATGACACAGGTAATACATTTTCCAGCTTTCCCCCGGGTCATTTACAACTGCAGTGAGAGCAGCAATGCATTTTCACCCAATCATGGCACATATGACAGCTGCATGTTCAGGGAATCAGAGCAGAAACCAGGGAAGGCCATGGGAGAGACAAAGCACCATGTGTTGCAAAATGTCATCAGCCATGTCTTTTGTGCATTTAATTTTTTAGAAAATAATGAATTACCAATTCCACTGTGATTTGCTGTGCTCTTTGATCCAGCCAGTCACTTTAGGAGAATATTAAATATAACATTATTACTATAACAGAGGAGGTGGAAGCACTTTTTCATCCCTGGGAGGATGGCTGCTGATAGCCTCAGTGACACTCACCTACAAGATGGGGCATGCTTTATGAAGCCTGAGGGGTGAAACTCAGGGTCCACAAATCACTCACTACTGCTTATAAAGCTTAGAGCGGCTATAATCTATGTTTTCATAATAACAATTTATCAAATGATGTGTGAGAACAATGTGACCATGTGAAAGGAGTCACTTGTAGTGATGAACCTACAGAGAATAATCAGCAGCTCCCTTAGCAACATGTGTTTTATGGCCAAGACTCTTCTTTTGGTTCACTCTCACTGCTCTCATTGCATCTTTTTTGGCTGTAGCAGGGAACTGTTTTCAATGAGAAAGCTAAGATAGATTCAGATACATTCCTATAGTGTAATTATATATTTTCTACACATTTTATCTAGATAAGGCTTCGCCTCCTTCTACTTACCCACATTGTTGTTTTTATACTGGCGGAGAAATACATAATTCTTTTTAAATGTTTTTTTGCTATTTTGACTAATATTGAGTCTAAAAGTTACCAGCTTTAAGAGAATCTTGGCATTTGTATATGTAATGTATCTGATAAACTCCTCTCCATTTCCAGTGAGGATTATTATTTTTCATCGTTTGAATATAAATGTGAAGATGACATAACAATATAATAGATGAAAGGCGAGAGAAACCTGAATGGTCACTCACATGTGAGCATATGCTGAGGAGATAGCCAGCGGGAACAAGGATATAGTCATGCCCATGTCACTGATGGCCAGATTAACTACAAAGAACTCTGCTGGCTTCAGGGAGGACTTCTTTCTATAGGCCACGAACAGCAGGATCCCATTCCCCAGCATTGACAGCACACCTGTGAAACAGAGTGGCAGGATATATTAGGGCTGATGGATTTGAACACATATTGACAGAAAAGCTGTAAACCTCAGGGGAAAAAAAACACATCACTTACCAAAAATGATGTAGAGAGTTCCCATGAGGATGTCATTGTCTTTTGATATTCTGGACAAGAGCAGAAATGTTTCAGAGGCATTTCCCATCTAGAATAAAAATGGAAAAATAGAGAAAAAAGACCTTACAAATTTACATCCACCAAAACTCAGATAAGAAGAAAACACAAAGTGACTTGTGGGTCAGACCACAGCTACTGTTAAAATGTGTATACAATGATATATAGCTCTTACTACCACTTGTAATGCACAAGAACCAGTATCACAACACAGCACTCCCTCTGCCTCTTTCACCAATTTTGTGTTAAGTGTTGACATAACAAATCGTAAAGGACATTTACATGTCTCCACCTCCTTCTGTTTCATAATAAAAAAAAAAAATAGAGAAGAGAAGAGGGTGCTTCCATGTACAAATTCTATACCATCCCTCACGTCAAAATCATTCTCATTTGCAAACAAGGTGGTTATTTGCATACACAGCATACCGTGCTGTCAATACACTATTCATTGTGGCCAAGGCAAACTGCTGAGGCAATCTTTTTAAAAGGAATTTATTGGAGATAGGATAAATGTATTCATATTTACTCAATGTCTTCACCTTTACTTACGGATTAAAGTGAGCCAACAAAGGGAAGAGACAAGTTAAATCACCTGGGGTTAAGAGTGGAGCTTCTTGTGAATAAATCCATATTACCATAAACTCAGGAGATTATCTTTAAAGAGGAAATTATTTTAAAATCATTCTGTGTGGACTTCCTGTTAGAATTGATGTGGCCTTGGTTCATGTAGGACAGCTTGTAATCAGGTATCCTGCACAAGTTTTTGTGAAAAATGGAAGTACTTGTGTTTATGAGTTGGGGGTTGTATGCATCTATTAGATTCTAAGTCATCTTCAAACAGTTACTTTGTTTTATCATTTATCATGACTACTAATTTCTACTGAAATGATATCAAACAGCATTACACAGTTTAATTAATTTTCTCATAAATTATCCCAAGTGTTGTTCACAGTTTGCTTAATCACATGTGCTTGGTGCATCAGTATACATGTGTTTTTTTTGTTTTGCTCAATGTGAGAATCTACATCAAGGATCTCAAACTGAAAACAGCCTGGGGGCCACTTCATTATAATATAATCTGGCCTGTAAGATTATTTTGTTGTTGTTGTTGTGATCAAGTTATTATTTTTTTAATGCTGGATGTTAGATTGACAGAGAATCAGCATCCTTTACATAATAGGCTAATAAACATGAGTCATTTTCTTCCTGCTTTTGCACACCCTGAAACATCACTCATAAATATTGAGTATTGCATCAAATATTGCATCACTGTTTTGAGCCATAGAAAGTTCCAGAGAGATGATGTATACTAATAAAAGGATCCATTGGGAGATCCTGAGTTTATGAGGAGGGTTTACACCTTATGATACAAAGCGGGGAGTATGAGAACCACTTCTGAAGGGGCCCAAGCATAAAAGATATATAACATAGCTCAAAGTTGTGTAATTCAAATCCTCCTGGTTTACTCTGAGAGAGGGATGTACTCTTCAGCCTTGGTATCTCCACTTTACAAGATTATTAATGTTTTATAGTTGTTTCATATCAATAAAACCAATTAAAACAACACAAAACACAAGGTCAAAACATTAACAACATAAGCAAAGATGATATAAAATGATGATGATTTTTTATGCTCTTAGTGGAAATATTTTCCCTATTTTCTTTTTTCCATGATATGACGATACCAGCAGTGGCTCGAAGCCAATTTGAGTTTGAAACACCTAATCTAAATTACTGCAGCACTCTTCCAGAGTGTCTTGTCTTGATGTCATAATCAGATCACCTTTTCCCTTTCCGAATGTTGCCAGGATTTGGCTTGCGCCAAAACACGTTGGTGTGACAAGAAAGTTGTTTTGTACTCTACAAGTGTTGCTGGAGTTTTGAACTATCTCAAACTTTTTCTCCTCTCCATGCACCTTGGAAATATCCCACGGTGCATAGGTAAAGTTGTGTATGAAATCCCTACTCTGCTTCCCTTTTCGATTGTGTTCCCACATATTTTCAGTGGGACTGAGGTCGTGTGACTGTGGAGAGAACGGATGGGACATGGTGATTTTTTATTAAGCCCTGAGGGGAACTTAAGATGTTGCACCAGACAATGATTACACAGATAAGTTCCACACATGGATGAAGAATGTGTTATATAAATAGAACACACTGCACACACAAATACAAGTAGTTCTAAAAGTGTTAATATTATGAAGAATACAGACATCATATGATATAAGAATAACATGAATACACCAAAGTAGCAGTATTAATACGCACGTACCAAGAGATTTTATACATAAAACAGATTTCAAATTAAAATGTTCAACAGAATTTAAGGCAGTATGTGTTTACATCTCCAGGACTTTCCTCTCTCTAGTCCTACATTTTCTATATAAGTTCATTTAGATAGGGAAAATGACACATTAATAAAGTCCTCTGATTATTGTGAAGTTTCTGGGAGTTAATGATGTTGTTAACATCATTTACTTAAATGTGCCGATAACACAATTTGAAAATACTACAAGTAATAATCGTGCTTTCAAAATATAGTATTGTCTGCAAAATTTACTATAAGTATGAAGTAGTTATAATAATAGAATGGTCCCTGTCATTGTTATATTATACAAGGTCGTCGTTCCCTTTATGCTACTCTAAGTATATACAAAAATTATACACAGAAAGAAAAAACACACATCACACCAATATCATTGATGATTGGCCGATGCCAGTTAGTGATGTTTTCTCCTCATTGCTGTTCAAAATCCAGCTGATCATGGTCGTGTCTTCTGAAAAACTCACAACAGTTTTGTCTCCATGTCAAGGGTTGCAATCATTGGTGTACGGTGTGAACAGGAGGTGTTGAGCACTAGAGAGGAGGAGGTGCGACTGACGATCTGAACTTTCTGGTGTCTGTTTGTGAGCCTAGTACCCAGTTGGAGAGTGTGGCCCCGAGTGCACTCAGTTTCACAGGGAAGACTGTGTTGAATGCTGAGCTAAAATCAACGAACAGCATTCTGACGTAGGTGTTGTGGAGGGCAGTGGAGGTAGCATCTTCTGTGGATCCGCTGGTTCTGAATGAAAACTTCCAGGCCGGCAGGGATGTTATTCTTTATGTGCTGGAGAACCAGTTTCTTAAAGTACTTTGTTGTTTAAATTAGATACTGCAGAATTTTTAGGTACAGGGACGATGGTGGCTGTCTTGAAGCAGGTGGGAACGCTCTCCTGTGACAGTGAAATGTCAGTAATGGCATCAACTAGCTGAGTGGTATGTGGCCAGGGATGTTATCAGGCCCAGCAGCTTTAGTCATATTTACTCTCAGCAGTCCGCTGTGGATAGTGACAGTGGCTGTTCCTCTGGAGGCAAAGTCAAAGCGAGCATAAAATGCATTTAGCTCATCTGGTTGCGTGTCCTACTCCTGATTTTGTAGCCTGTGAGAAGTGTAATAGTGTAAAAGTGCTTTGAGTGGTTGGAAGGCACTGTACAAGTACAGTCCATTTACCATTCAACTCCATGACATAAATGGCAATAACATGGTTAGAGACAGCTCCTCTCTAGCCATGCTACTGTTTGTCTTTAAATTAGTGTGAATGCCTCTTTGCCCTCTTAGTGGTCTTGTGACAGTCTGTTTCCATGTAGTGGTCTTGTATAATCCTGTTAAGCAGAGTCAATGTCCTCAATGTTTAACATCAAAGCAAAAATATGCTAGTCTTGTGTTGGCTTTTATGTTCATCCAACTTGACCTGCAGTCTCACATTCCCTATGATAAACTGTGCAACGCTTAAGTCCTCACACAAGTTTGTTGCCCCTTCAGTATCTCAGTTGCTCCACAGGGAAATATGAAAATAAAATATTATTTTGACTTATTATTTTCCCCCCTGTCTTAGACTTCACTTCAGGATTCCTTCAGGATTTTTATATGCCTTAATGACTTCACCTCACGGTTGGACTTTCGTAAAGTTTAACAGATTCATAAAACCACCCACCTACAACAGTGATCTGCCCTGCAGTCTTTGGACACAAATATGTAGAAATATATCTCCATACAGATATTGCTGTAAGGTGCCTGTATTCCTCCTATAAGTAACATATGTTTCCACACATTTATGATTACTGATGGGGATTTTGTCCCATACTGAGACTCCATCTGACCTGAGCATCATGTTATTACATCTGTTTTCAATTTGTGATGCAGTTCATATTGCTTGAAACATGAGCTTAGTCCAGCGTACTACTGGGCTTATGAAACCATTTTAAATCAGTTGCAGTGACTTAAAATTGCATGGTGGTATCATTTGAAAACAAGACAATTTTTCCTTAAAGGAGTAATCTTTTAACATTTTTTTCGTATAATATTGTCAGAAGCAATAAAAAAATAAAAATAAATGCAGTAGAAACAGAGATAGTGTCTATTTTCATACAGTGCATTCTTCTTGCTTATCAAAACCTGGCGGCTATATTACCCACAACACAACTCTGCCACCAACACTTTATTTAGAGATTCAGTTGTGTTATGCTAGTGGCAGCAAATGTAGCCTTGAGCCGATAGCATCGAGCAGCGATGAGGAGTGGGCTACAGAGACCTGATAACTCACTTTAACGCCACTTCCCTTTTTATGTTCAAACATCTGACACCATAAGTGACATCACTTGAGGCAATTTATCAGACTTTGTCTCTGGACCCACAAAAGCCTTTACACAAGTAATCAGACTTTGATTATCAGTGAAGTTCCATTTTAATTCCCCCCCCAAAAAAAAATTACATTTGGGATACGCAGGGATTTGAACGGACAAGAAGTATATCTGTCATAAAGACTTTCAGCACATACAGATTATACTGTGTCTGCCTGCCTGTCTAATTATTTACATCATTGCCCACTTCCCCTCTACTGTATGTTATCCTCTCAGCAGTGTCAAGGGTACAGGGGGCAAGGCTGGATTAACACTCTGTCTGAAAGGATGAAGTCAAGACTGAAAGTGAGAGCGAGGCAGAGGAGCAGGGTAAAAGGGAGAAACCTTTGCTCACCCCCATCAGACTGAGA